CTGGAAGCAGAGGGCTGGACACCTCCCATGATCGAGAGGAGTAAGCAGTGGGCCAGAAACCATGGCACTCTCAGGATTTCTGAGGTGCATGGTGAGGAGGAGTGGTCATTCCCCTTTGAAGAACTTAGAGGAACACACAGCATCCACCTCTACGTCTGTCAAGGATTGCTTTGTGTTATCAAGTGTTGGTGGGTTCCACTTTTTGACATGTTCACCCTGCATGTGTTTGGTCTTTGGTAATTATATAAGCAAGGACGGAGTCCCCGCCATGTTTGACAGCAACATCTCGATGGAAGCGGCGTCTGGAAGCGCTACTGGGTGGTTTGCTCAGTCCCAAAGTGCCTTCAGGTCTTTCTTGATTTGTCCGTGTTTCAGGTCAGTGAACCGACATTTGATGGAGATGTCTACAGCATCTGCAAAGCAGGCCAAGACTGCAGTCATGCCAGTCATCCAGCAGAACGATCCTCTTGGATCCTAGGCATGTTTTTGTGTCCATGTACATTATATACATGTACAAACAAGCTCAGCTTAGTGCACTTTATTTCTTGGAGCCCACTCTATAAGGACAGTTGCCTGCTTTCTTGGAAGTCATGGGGAAGCTCAAGCAACATGGTTTTCTTGAGACCTCTCACTCAATGTCTTTCAAGGAGAAACTTGCGGGGATTGACACTGAACGTGCCAAACAGTCCTTTGGTTTGCACTGAAGGGTTTGGAGTTATTGCTGCCCTTGGACTTGTTATGCTTTATATAGTATGCATGATTTGTTGCACCAGGTTGGTCAAACCTCTACGTGATCAGCGGGGTGAGATGGAAACAGTCTACCAGAGCCCGCTGTCTTTGCAGGGGGAGTTCACAACTCTGGATAACGGTCTTGGAGAGACACCTGCCTGTTAGTTACTATGCGCACTAATATGTCTATACTAAACGTTTTCAAGATTCCTGGGCTAACAACTAACATGTTTGTGTATGCCATGTGACTCTATATATATCTAAGGGACCAAAAGAAGGCTTTGATCAAAAAGTACGTTGAAGCGACGCAGAAGGATTTGGCTTTGAACTCGATGCTCATGCGTTGCAGGTGCACACATTCTTGTCTCACTTCTTCAGAAAGCTTTCAACTACTTCATAAGTGCTATGCATGGCCCGTTTTAGTTATTGTGAAATTGAAACCTGTGGTGTGTGGTGCATCCCCCCCATGCTCCAGGAACTGCAAGGCTCCCAAACCCAAAGCGAAGGCTAAGGCCAAGGCTGGTCGCAAGCGCAAGCGTTCCAAGACGAACGTTGAAGAGGACGAGGAGGAGCCTGAAGAACTTGATGATGGTGAGCCCTCTGAGCCAGCACCGGCACCGCCAAAAAGCCGTGGGTCCAAGCCAAAGGGTCCAAAGGGTCCAAAGGTTTCGGGTGCCAAGAAAACGGCCCGGGGTAAGGCTAAGGCCTAGTGGTCTTGGATGAGGCCGCGTGCATTTTGCTTGAACAGCTGCTGTAGCTTGTCCACTTGAATGAGACAAGTGTTTGGCGTTTTAGCACTATAAACTACACCATGGCCTGGAAAAATAAGACCTCATGCACGTGCGATCACGTGCGCCTTTCAGAACACATGCAATATGGATGAAACCCCAGCAGCGGCTGAGCCAGGTCTCCTAGAGCCTTCAGCCTGCTCCTATCTCTTCTCTAGATCAGGTGACTTGGGCAGCAGCTTCCAAAAGAAACTATATATATATAATATATATATATCCCTCATTGCATGTCTTTGAACGCGCGCAGCTCCCAATCCAAAGAGATATGGTATATCTGTGGTTATATATATATATATATTATATATATATATTTATACCAGTGGTCTCCAACTGATCTATCTGCATTGCTGCCCTCAGGCCCCCCGGATGATGAGAGCGACGATGCTTTGTGTGCTGAGCTGGCTGATGATCTTCTGGTCGATTTTTTTTCAGGTGAACCTTTGCTGCAAACCGGTCTTGTTTTGTGTACAAATCCTTTCAGTATCTTTCAGTGCAGGGGTACCTCTAGCAGGCCAACCCTTGGGGGCCAACCTCCACACTGAGGCCCAATCAGCGAAACAGGTGGCTCTGAATGCTTCTAGAATATGCCGAGTGAGAAGGAGCCGTTTCCTGGCTGGATGGTGTGTGATACATGAATGCACGCATGCATGCGCACTCCAATTTCATGTTGACCATGCACCAAAAAGGATGTGGTCCATGGTGGTCCCGTTTCTGAGGAAGGCAAGATGACCTTCTCTGGAAGATAGCCAAATGCTCCAATAGCCAGAACCGCAATGCCTGCAGAAACTTGACCAAACTCATTCGCCGATCCGGAGCCTGCTTGAACATCGAATTGGCCTTCGTGGAAGTTGCCTGCCGCAAGAAGAGGCCAAAGATCCAGGAGATAGATATTCAATGGCCAGTCATACCTATGAGGGGCTGGTGCAAGTACATTTTTGAGAATGCTGCATTTCTCCTCTTGGGAGGGCACCGCCTAGGAAATGCTGCCATGTGGCAGGCAATGTTTGAGTCTTTCTGGGAAAGGTACAAGACCATCAGGCCACATCATGAGCTGTTTTCCAGCAACAAACCTCTGGGAAGATGTATCCCTTATATGGTTCACGGCGACGAAGGTGTTTCTCACCGTCGGGTACCATTCTTGGTGGAATCTTGGCAACCAGTTATCTCACACTTGGGTATGAGCAAGACCAGTGTAAGCGGGATCCTTGCCATCCAGTCCAACACATTTTTATTCCGTCACAAGGGTGGTGTTTGTCTTTTGGATTTGGGTTGAGGTCTGGTTGGTTCAGGGGATGAGCTGGACTCTAGCCCAACCTGGAGCTAAGGCACAGCTTTTGCAGCAGGTTTCTTTACACCTGCATGTCTTCATCGGCATTCAGTGGAGATGTGACACTTTTTCAGTTGCACTCTGCATTCACCCAAGAAATGCTTCAGCTTTACCACGAAGGCTTTGAGGTTTCTCGCTTGTCATTTCTGACAGTGGTGTGGTATGTTTGTTATCCCTGAAGGTCTGCCCAGGGGATCCCACGTCTACAGTATATCTGATATGGATTGGAAGCAAGGGAGATTGGAAGTATCTCAGAAAGGCCCCTTGGATATATAATCGTTCATTGCTGGATGGAGTAAATGTCTTGATGAGTGGGTTGAGATATCTGGCCTAGGTTGTGTTTATGGAGCCAGTCCTCACAACATAACTGGGCCTAACGCCGTAGCATGAGTCCAGGTCTTCTGATCGATCAAGTACATTCAACTTGAACTGGCACTTCTCATGCCTTTTTTGAATTGCAAACACTCAGGCCTGTAATTTTTAGCAACAGGCAGGTCATGCGCACTAGACTCAACAAATTTGTGGATCCAATCAATAAGTTTTCAACTGGAGCTAGGCCTCATTTTGGACCTGTTGCCAAAATTGATGGTTTGTGAAACCCATCTCAAACAATCTCTATTTCACCTAAAGACCTAAAGAGCACCAAAACATCTCCCAGCCGAGCCAAGGCCTGGAACTTGAAGACCGGGTGGAACAGTCTTCGGGTATGTCACCTTTGCAGCTCTGAAGACTGGGTTGGGACAAGTTGGAATAGGGAAAGGGAGGACTCAAAAAACACTTTGAATGTTTGTTCCCACAGTACTTCTTTGGTTTGTTGGAATAGCCCGTGAAGGAATGGTATGATCCCAGTCCAGAAGTCCAGAAGCTGAATCACGAAGAGCTAGACCTGGCGATGATCCCTACAAAGAAGGATTACCGTGGCCCTTCCGCCAGCTACCACATGCCAGCCCAGAGATGATCCTTGTGGACATAGCCCACTCGTTTCATATCAAGGGAGTTGGGGTTGACTTTGCAGCAAGTCTGATAGTTCTTGGCTGTCGCAAGAACTTGTGGGGTGCAGGCTCCTTTGATATGAAACTTGAACGTGCCTATGAAGAATTCATCGAGCACTGTGCTACTACCAGGAAAAACACCACCTGTGGGACATGGTCAAGGCTGAAGCTTGACATGTCTACCGGAAATGATTTCCCTTCCAGTGTGGATGGAAAAGGCATGGACACAGCAGTGGTTTGCGCGTGGCTTGAGGTAGCTTTGTCGAACAAGGACAGGGATGGGAAACCCAAAATCCAACACGGTTATAGTTCTTAATAGCTTTTGGTCTGAAGCAGGATCTTGGTGGTGATGAAGAACTACAAATAGCCCTCTACAGTTTGCAATCGATCAACAAGTACTTTCGCGAGATGTTAGCATCGGGCCTTTGGCGGACAGCTTTGGAGCACAAAGAATCTGAACGCTTGGTAAGAACCTTTTGTGAGGGATATGCCCAATTAGCAGCGTCCCAGGCCGCTGCTGGAAAGCTCATGTTCAAGCTGCGCCCCAAGCTTCACATGCTTTGGGAGGTCCCCTCCCAAAATTCTGGCTCAGAATGGGTTTATGTGCTTCATGCTGGTCCGATGAAGATTTCATTGGAAAGTGCAGTCGAGTATCACGAACATGTTTGGGACTAGGGTTGGCCCAATCCTTGAGATGCATCCAGAAAATTTTGGGGTGCTACAAAACCCAATTCGACAAGTTGAACCGTTAGATCATCTGACACTTGGCCGCCCGACATCCTTGTGGGCAAAGAGGCGCGAAGGTGATGTGCGCATCATCGGTGGATGGTGCAGGGGGTAAAGATGGGGACAAAGGATGATGTCCATTCATGTCTATGCTGCAAAACGCCTAGTTCTTGCATAAAACGACCAGTTCTCCTAGTTTTGAAGGAAAACACTCAAACGTTCGAAACTCCTAAAAATAATTGAGTGAAGGAATCTCCAGGTGTATAGGTATAGGCATGCCAGTCCCAAACAAGTCGTGTCTGGGCATGGTCCAACACTCTTCCGCTCCCAACCACTCCTCCGCCACTGCCGTTGTTTTCGGCCGGGCGCTCTCTCTTTGGAGACGGACGTCGACTTCGTTCCCACCGGGACCGCGGGACCGCGAGCACACGCGCGCGCTCAGGCGCGAGCTCCGCTGGACGTGCCTGGGGCGACCCTTCGCGAGGCGGACGAGAAAGCTGCCAGTACGATCGGGGCTCTGGCCACGAACGCGATCGGGCGCTCGAAGCGTTCGAAAACATCCCGTGGCCATCGCTACGAACGGGGCTCCTGGCCTTACTACCAGGAGCAAGTAGCTATGAGGAAGGTCGAGGATGTGCCTCCCAGCTCACGGGGGCGAGACCTTCCACAACTTGGAATCAATATGATCTGCCCAGACGCTCCGTTCACAGCCGGACTGGTCCCTCAAAACCTCGGGATCCTAGGGGATTGGTTCGACCCCAGACCCCTCCAGAGGATTCGGGTCCGACCCCTGCAGAGGATTCGGGTCCGATGAGTGGGTTCCTTTTTGAAATCGTTTCTCTTCTCCAATTCTTCACCCTCCCAAAAAAAGAAAAACGCGCCACTCCCTCCACACCTCTCTCTTCCGCACCTCTCAACAGCCCAGTCGACCCGTCCTCGAGCCCCCCGGCCGGGGGAGAAGGGCGAGGGCAGGCTGTTCAGCCCCGGCGAGGGGTCCCAAGCGGCGCCTCCTGCGTGCCGGGTTGGGGAGTTGGAGCAAACAAGGAGACCGTGTGAAACCAATCCTATCCTATCCTATCCTATCCATTCCATTCCATTCTATTCCATTCCATTCCATTCCAATCCTCCGTCCATCCATCCATCCATCCATCCATCCAACCATCCAATCAACCAACCAACCAACCAAGCAACCAACCAAGCAAGCAACCAAGCAAGCAATCAATCAATCAATCAATATCAAGCATGTAATGTAAGGAACCTGTCTCTTTTGGTCTTCTTCCCCGCAAATCCAACACAGAGCAGCATAACACCTGCACTGAAAACAACACACATGATCAAATAAGGTGCACCTTCCATCGCCTCTTCACTCATCGCTGGCATCTCTTGACATACCTTTTCTCTGCCCGGCCTGTCTTCTCTGCTTTGAACTGTTCCGGTTCAACCAGCCCAAGGATTCCATCAAAGGTCACTACCTCATCTGGCGTTCACGACCCTCCGGTGTCCATCGCTTCTGGGCCCCAACACGTGGATGGTTGACCCGGGCCGGCGGCTTAGGCGCAGGGCCATGGAGTCTCAAACAACCTCTGATCCCCCCGTGGAGTTTCAGGCACCTCTGCAGAAGAGGCCTCCTTTCCTTGAAGCCTTCAGCCTTCAGCCTTCAACTCGGGACTTGGGAATCCGGACCCCCAGGGAGCAGAGCAGGACCAAGACCGGATCCACGCCCGAGATGTTCGTCACCTCCAGCCTCTCTAGGCGGAGCGTGGGCGCGCACGCGCGGGGCGTGGCGCCCGCACGCGCAGAGCGCGGAAGGCTGGGGAGTGGCGGCGGCGGGGGTTTTGCGGTGGGGGGCGCGCGCTTTTCGCTAGCATGGCATGGTTCTAGCGATGTGAATACGTGTGATACGGATATATGTGTTTGGAAAAAAGAGAAAGCGAAATCTAAAGAGCTCCAATTCGATGAAAAGAACAAACGAACCCTTCCAGAATGTGGTTGATCGTTGGGATCCCATCCTGGAAGCCCTAGACCTCCCACGTCCTCCCACAGGTCGTGGCAGCCTCCCCTTCTGTTCCAAAATGGGTCCTTTTGCTGGGGAGTCCCCAACATGTCCCATGCCGGTCGCACAGCAAAAACCCTCATGGCCACCGATTGACCGAGGTTGACCCGGTGAGGTTCCACCATCCGCCGCTTCGAAGCGCCTGTGTCCATTCGATCCTTCGGGACGAACCTCGAAGGAAGGACCGCGAACGAGCCGGACGCGTGGGACCGGCGACCCGGACGCGCGTGGGACCCGTGGGAGTTGAGAGAAGATCTGAAGGATGTGAAGGATCCGGGCTCCTGAGGGCTCCTGGCCCACCTCCGTTTCGCTTCGGTTCGGCCAGGGGTGGGTGCCAGGGGGGTCCCCACCGAACCTGAGGAGATGGTTTATGGTTGGAGCTTTAGGGGATATTCTTGGAAAGGCCCAAAGAAAGGGTGTTCGAGTTATACTTGCTCCCACTCACTAACATGGAGATGGAAAGTCCCCCTGCTCGCATAGAGCAATTCTGGTCTTCCCGGGACCTATTTTCCACGGCCATGTTAGTGGGTCAGAGAGAGGGAGAAGGCTCTTGACTCTTGATTCAAGGCTATCAGATGTCCATACATTTCCTAGGTTCCAGGGATCTTCTTGGCTCCCCAAAAAGTCTTCTGCGCTGACAGAAGCTGGGTTCTCTCGGTGACGACGTCTGAACCCGAGCGCGTCTGAACCCGTGGTCGCCCATGGGCAGCCAACTTCTGGAAGTCTTCGTGCAGTGCAGGGAGAATTTGGGAGAGAATTCTCAACCTCAATGCCACCACCCAGCATCTTGAGAACAAACCACTCAGTTGGAAGGTCCACTCGTTTGGAAGGTCCACGCATTCCCTCAGCCTCCCGGCGGCGGTCGCAAGCAAGGTGCCCCTGCTCCGGTGGTGTGTGGGTCGTCCACCTTGGCGGAAGGGACTGACCGAGAAGTAGTGTGACCAGGGTTTCATCGCGTGACATGACGATCTGATTTGGGAAGAACTGATTGACCCACCCTGACGCTGACTCTCACACACGATCATTATGATGTCGACTTCTAAAGTGTTCGGATGTGTTCGATGCTTTCCTTAAAAAATAGCCCAAGAATTGACAGGCTCCACTCCAGAGTGTCTCTTTCCTGCCATCGCCGCACAACCAAAATAACCAGCCAAAAAACACCACCACTTGGTTTCTACTCACACCGCCACTCCACCATCACCACAACAGAAGCAAACACCTGCGCCACACACGCCGTAACTCCCCGTCTGCCTAGCTTGTGCAGACCGTCTTTGAGGTCTTGCAACACCCGGGTGCCGGACCTTGGGCGACCGAGGTGTCGGTCGGTCTCCCGTGGTACTGCCCACATGGCAGGTGGGCAAAACCCACAGCACCAGCACCCTTCGGTCTCCAATTGAGACCTCAGACAGGGCCTAACAACCCGCCATTTCGGAGACCTGTTGTTGGAGGGTGCTGGCAGAAAATGACTGAAAAACATCCGAAAACAAAAACTGACAGATGGCGGGGCCCGTCTCCGGAACCTTCGTCCGCCGAGCAGGTCCAATGTTGACCTCTTGGATGAGAGGCACGAAGAAGTTGTGGGTCACGTGATGGAGGTCGAAACTCGCCAGAGTAACTCTAAATACTCTGGCAACTGGCAGCAGCGATGAAGCCAGGAGCGGCCAGAAATGAGATCTGTAAACTGTCTCGATGTACCTATAATTATGTCGTTGTCTGCTAGCCCAACTCTGCAGCTTCGGAAGCACTAACCATTCCTGTCCCCGTTGGGTCCCATCTGTCTCGCTCGCACTTCACTTCCCCCGCACGGTCGTTGTCCCCCGGTCACGTGCGACCGATGCACAGCCCTCTCAGCCCAGTGGCCCCCTCCTTGGCAGCCAGATGATAGAGATCCGCCCTGTCGGCCCATCGACCGTCGGACCGGCGGTCAGCAGACCGACTGGACCTAGACCTGACCCGGTACCGATCTGGGCGCCGATCACCGTCCGATCTGGCTCCAAAAAGAAGGCTCCAATCACGTTCTTGCCGGGTATTTGTAGGGATCCAGTCGTACCTTCTCAGAAGGCACCTGGACCCTCCTGGCACCCACCCCAAACACCGAACCTGAGAAGGCACAACTGGATCCCTAGGGTATGATGTTTTTCAAAGTCTCCAATCACAACCTTCTGGACGGGGTATGTGGATCCATGGTCTCGAGCCGCCCCAGCGAGTTCGGGGCTCCCGCCTTCCTCTGCTGCCATGGACCATCGTGCTTCGCGGCCTTGGAACTGTGCGTTAACAAGGTTCTCGATGTGAGACTGACCTGTCCGGTGACCGGGTTTAATGCCAAGAGAGGTTCATTGACCGTAAAGGACGGAGAGGTCCCATGGGCCAGGGATAATTCGTCGAGTCTATAGGGTCCTTCAACCTCTCTGGGTCGTTGTTGCTGTGGGTCGTGCTGGGGGTTCAACTGCTTTCGACCGAAGACGCACTCAGCTGCCCCGGCCATTCTCTTCTTGGAGCAAGTACCTGAGACCAACAGCCGTCGCAGCCGGAAAGCGAGGCAGGACGCAGGACGGAGGACAAAACCAGCACGCAGGACGGAGGATATTTGGATCCGCCATTGAAGATCGAAGGTTCTGTTGAACGAGATGCAACGTGGACTCATCAAAGATGGCTCCACCATCGAAACTGGATTGGGCCAATGTCCAAAACAATATCAACTTAGTGTGGTTCATGCTTGGGGACCTCAACCAAGCTCTTGGTGAGGAATTAGACGAAACTTGATCTCAAAGTTCACATGAGCTTGTTCCACAAAAATAATCCCCATGCAGAACAAGTTGGCCTATTTAAAAACGCCTTTTTCCAGTGGTCAACAAGTCCCATTCAGTAGAGAAAACGTGGAGGAATGGGAGTCCCTCACTTGGCAATGAGAGTCCCTCTCCCAACCCCGGAAAGGACTCCCACAGCGATGGATTTCGCAGCTGGCTGCGTGTTCTGCACGGGGGTTTCCCTTTTGAAAACTCCCATGTGTCACTGTCTAACAGGGTCTGGGGAAAAGACAGGAGATGGTCTAAACGCTATTCTTTTCCAACATATCGCGCCGATTCATGTTCAACATCTTCATGGCTTCAAAACAGAGTTGTCGACATACCAAGAGCATGAATTGATCCAAGTCAGTATACACCTGCTGAACTGCTGAACCGCTTTTTTCTGGCTTTTGCTCCCGGACAAACCTGAGGGGCCCCCACGCTCCCTTGTGCGCCAGCAGCCGACCATACCTGGCCACCGTGTCGACACCGTCTGCGGGTCCGGCGACGAGGTTCCACGTTGGATGTTGGGGGGTTCGGTCGTTCACGTGTGTTTTTTTCTTGTTTGTTTTGCCCAAAGGCTAATGGGACCCAGCCCGCTCGCCAGGGTGACATGGAGCCTTCACCTACATGTAGCAGTTGCTTCGGGGCCGAGTTCGGGTCGCTTCTGGGTGGTGTATCACTTGTATCACTGACGCCCACATCCACATCCATGTCTCTCATGTCTGGGTCTGCACGTCTTGGACCAGCGTCTCGCTCCACGGTCGGCCATTCCTCGCTCGCTCGTGAAAGAGCCAGCGTCACGTTCGGCCGTCCGGAAGCAGGACTTCGAGGTTGGACGTGACGGTCCTGGGTCGGGCCATGACGTGCCGTCCGAGTGCCACGTGCCGTGCCCACGTCGACCCATGACGGTCCTCGATGGATCGGATGGATCGATGTGGTCATCCAAAGATCTCTTCCAGAGATGTCCAGCCATGATGATGATGATGATGATGATGATGATGATGATGATGATGATGATGATGATGATGATGATGATGATGATGATGATGGATGAATGATGATGATCATCATGAACTTCTATTGAAAGTTGAAGGTTCACATTCGAGTCTTTTGGAATGGCCCTGACATCGATGGCCCTTGGGGGGTGTCAGAACCGTAACATCCAAAATACACCTCCTCGAAACCTGTTCGTTTTTCAAAATCATGTGTAGACAAAGGAGACTCTTCTGAGACTCTTAGAGTAATAAACTTACCCACCCAATTTGAATTGGACATCCTCTTAGGGCCTGGAGTCTACATTAACCTCTTCCTCACCCAGTGTGCCAAGCCATGGGCCTCTCTGCGCGGCTTTCCAAGGCTAGTCATCCAGGCGCCAGTCATCCATCGCCGGTCACAAGCAAACATCAACCTCCCTCACCTGCTGGAACTCCATGTGAGTCAGCCAGTTCCAGCTGAAGTTGTGGAACTGCAATGGAGTCATGGTTTCCACCCCCCAAAATCCCTACTCCAGCACTTGACCTCAAAACCACTTGACCTCAACCAGCAAACGGATCAGTGCTGGGCCGCACGACCCAAGAAGCTCGTCTTTCTCCAAGTGCCGCACCTGCCGAAAACGGGCGGCACCCGGTGCTTCGTCCCACGTGGCTGGACAGACTTCCTTCTGCCGCTCCCATCAAGTCAGAGGCTTAGCCTCAAGGAGGTGGTGGACACCCGACGGGAGGTTATTACATGCTCTGGGTGGAGCATGGCACGTTTCTCTTTTCCACGGTGGAAGGGGATGTTCCTGATCACCAGTGGTTTGTGAGACAAGCTTTTTGAGAGACAAGCATGTGTCAAGGTGGCCACACTGCTGGGCGTGGCCACGAAATGGGGCACGTCATTTCCTGAATTGTGCGGGACTTCATGTTCCTGCATGTTGAAAATGAGCACTTCAGAGTCTGAAACACTTCTCCTCGCAACCGGTGTCCAAGCAAGTGATCAGGAGATGGTCCAAGGCAAACTTGGTCCCTCTACATGGACCCTCCTGTCGGGGTGTCCAATGGACTACCCCACACTACCTATAGGCTTCCAGACAGGGCACCCCGACAGGAGGGTCCTGGTACATGGGCATGCCCCTTCCTGATCACACTTGTGTTCAGGTCACCACATGTCGGTCAAGCTCGCTACGGACGGACGCACTGGTCGGGCTCCAGGGGTTCGCCCCAGCACTCCCTGAAATCATCCATGGGACAAGCACGTGGAGTTCGGATGGCATCGCCTCCAACACGAGTGACTCACTTAAGAACGTGGAGTCTTAAGACCCCAAAGAGGTGGGTGTTCACTCACTTCACATCACCCTGATTCCTTCCATCTCATGGCGGCATGGCTTACATCTCTCTGCGGCTTCGCCCGGCCTCCACGCAGCTGGATTTCCGCTGCGAGTCCCGCAGCTGCAGCGTGGCAGAGAGAAGCACCTGGATGGGGTCTAGACCAAGCCGGAAGGGCTTCGAATGGAGGCTTCGGATGGAGGCAGCCGGAAGCGGCGGACGGGTCCCAGGAGTTGAAAAACATGAAAGAGACATTGAAAGCGCAAGACGTGTAATTGTACTTTCAGATACTTTCAGAAAGCGAACTGTTTTGGTGGGTGACAATTCCTCTGTGTCTCTTGCATGAAGAAAGAAAGACATCAGCAGAAGTCCCAATCAAGCTCTACTAAAATTGCCAGGAAAATGCCTTGCAGGATCAAAAGCAGCAGGACTTGCATGGCAAAACCAGTGACATGTGGTGTGGACCAACATCTTCTGGACAAAAATACACAGAACCGAGTGACTGGCAGAAAGAAGAACGATGCCTACACACCCCCCTGGCAAAGACCCACATGGACCCGGGCTTGGACCAGACTGGAAGACGATGTTCTGAATTACAGGCGCCAGTCTTCGGCTTTGATGTGGGTCTCTTCGGGTTTGACCGAGCGACCGGCCGCGAGCGACCGGTCTTCGGCTCCACGAGGTCTGACCGACCGAGCTGCTCGATGAGAGTTCTGGGAGAAGATGTTCAGAGACCAACCGCCATCGCTGTCCTGGCACAGATGCCGTCGCAGCTGCCGCACAGAATGTCGTCATGGCATGCGCCGTCGTCCTTGCCCCGGGAAAATTGCCCCGAATTCTGAGCGTGTTTGGAAAGCGAACCTTCCTAACGAGTCTCCGGTCCGCGCCGAACTGTTCGGCAAAGCCTGCCAGGCTCGGATGTGAGCTCGGATGTGAGATCATATCCACCATTCTCACACCCTCCGACCAGCTTTTGGACCAGGAAGGAAAGGCCCTTCCCATCGCTGGACTTGCAAGACGATTTACAAAAATGGTCGACCTGGCTTAAAGCCACTATACTGTCACTGTGAATATGCATTTGGCTTCTTGTGGTTTCTTGTTTAAAAGTGCTGGATCTTCGTGGGTGAAGTGCCAGTTAGAGTGGGTGAGTCTTCTTTGTAGTATCAAATCCTTCGTTACACATGTGGTGCGCCGCCAACTTCAATGGAACGGTGCTTGGAGGAAGTCGCTACAAGTAGGGGGGGTTCGGAGTCGCCACACTCCGGCCAGCTCCGAATCGAGCCGCCGCTGCGAAGACCCATGATGACTCATTCGGTGCGGTACCAGTTCTTGCTCTTAGGGGTTTGAAAATTAGACTTTTCGGGAGGGGGAAGTCGTTGAGGTGAGTCGTTAAGGGGGTCCCTGACAGGAGTATGTACCTTTACGGGGTCCCCTCTCCTGGCCAGTCTCTCTCCCAGTCTCTCCCTCTCTCTCCCCCATGCCGCCCGGGAAAACGAGGGAACCCGCCTGGAGGGGCTTCAACGGCACCTGAGACTCCGCTCGACTTCGCTCGGACCCTGAGACGAACGGAGACTCGTCGGATGTAAGCGGTTTCGGGCGGTGAGGCGGTTTGGCCAAGCCCCGCCACCCAGCAACTCCCGTCCACCTTTTCAACAACACATTGGCCTCACTGGCCTTTCCCCCCCCAAATAGAAAAGATGTCGTTTTGGTTCATAAGGGGGTTCTCCAAAGAGGGAATATCTAAAAAAGAGTCCATTTAGGAACTGTGGGTACTCAATTAAGAAAAAGGTGTTCTTAGGAAGCATGTGTGTTTTTTTGGACAGCCTGGGTTGTTTAGGAACCTAATAAGAAAGACAACCCCAAAATCGCCTATGTGTTTGGTTTAGTAGTATATAGTTTAAGAAGGCGGTAAGTTCAGAACAACTATAAACCCTATTTAGGGGTCTGCGACATGCGTTTCTTTTTTGCGTAGTGTTGTCTTAAAAGTTGCACAACAGGCAAGCCAGCTGCCGATCTCCCACCTTTTGTCCTGCGGTCTCCCCATCTCAGTACTCATACCGACTCTCCATGTATGGCGGCTGGTTGAACAGTGGAAAATTCTGGAGCAGGCTGGCCACATCTTCCATCTCGCACACCAAACCAACTGAACCTCCCCCAAACTGCTTGCGCGCCCGCGCCCCCCGCGCAGGATCGGACGAGCTACGATGAAGGGCGCGTGCATGGCCGACAGGAGCTGTGGACCTCGATCCCGCCAATGGGACGCCCCGGGCGTTGGAGCTTGAACGGAAGTACTCCAAGTGTCCAGGTCAGCTGGGACGGCCAAATCTCGGGATCCAGATTTGGGGAGTCCAGCTCATTTCCCCAAGTGGGCTGCAAGAAAATCATCCCAAGAACAGCCCCACGGGATGCTCTCATCGTTGAACGACCTGCGCCATGGCTGGGCTCCTCGACGCCACAGAGAGGTACTGAGTCCCGTGGCACATGGCGGGCAAAGCCTCTTGCTTGATGCTCTCCGCTGGCTCCACAAAGGGCACCTGCACCTCAGGCCGTGCTGCGGAACGAGCTCTTGGTGCCTTCGCTGCAGACAAAAGGCAAAGCAGTAGTCAGTAGATGTCAGTAGTGCATCGTTTCAAGGGAGGAACGAAGAGAACAAGGCGCCTTTATAGTAGGGCCCTACGGAAATCACAGGTTCTGTTCCCAGACCTCTATGGAGTTGGCCATACAATAAAGCACCACGTCTGACTGAGGTTTTATAAGGACCCAGGTGGTGAGGGAGCTGTGAGGACGGTCGCTGGGGGGGTTGGACAGTCCCGAGCATCGAAGCAAACCATGCCGAACACACCGGCTGCATCTGCATGTGAAGCACATCATCCCGCATCATCCCACACCCCCGCAAAAGATGTGTTTGCAAATTGTTTTGACCTAAAAAGTGATAGACGTCGATATATGTCGATATAATAAATGGTATAATATAGAAGAAGACTCTCTTGCCGTGTCTTCGCCTCTTTTTTAAGTGAACTCTTGCTAAGTCTCTGTTCCCCAAGTGGGTCTCTTCCTTCCACGTCCGCCCTCCGCTCCGGACACTTCGGGGCGGGACGACGTGCTCGGCCTGGGCGGATGGAGCGTTTGAGACACCGAACGCACCGGTGGCATGTCTGTCACACATCCCCTTGCCTTTGACTTTCTTTTTGTGTTTGTTCACTCCGATCATCACCTGACCTCCGTAGTGCTGGAATTTGCGAACGGATGCATGGTTTTCTTTTTGCAGTTCCAGGCCTTCCAGGCTCCAGTGTGAGTACAACTCTTACTCATGTTCGCTGGTCTGTTGCTGTAAAGATCATCAAACTCTGGCATCCTCCTCCTCGTTGTCGTTTGGACTCTGCAGACTCGAAGGCCTCGTTCGGCTCCGACTTGAAGATCTCCTGGAAAGCCACTTGAGCCTCGCGCCGGATCCGCGCCGCGCGGCCGCACTCGCGAAGCGCGTCGCGCGGGTCGCGTCGCGCGCGTCGCCGAAGCTGGTGATGAGTATGGGCTAACATCTGGAAGAACGAGTTTTTGGGAAGACTGGAACATCTAAGCTAGAGTTCCTATCAAGATGACCTTCGGAATGAGCTTCAAACAGTCTGACCCACGCCCGAAATGCCGACGGGCGTCACTTGCGCTTTCTGGGGCCCGGTCGAAGCACCAGAGCAAGCCGAAGAAGCATAGGAGCATCGCTCCAAAGAGGAGAAAAATCACCTTATAGGATCTCGCAAAAGTCCGGGTTTTCATATGTTTTCATCATATCATGGTGGTCCGATGCATATCTCTAGAACAGCTCCGAAATTCCATCTCTGTCCTCTCTGCCCCCTCCTTCTCCCTGCCTCCCCCTGGCCTCGCAACTACTGAGAGGCCTCGGAGACTGCGCAGATGGGCTCGACTGAGACCCGTGCCGTGGTATCAGTGCCATCCACCTTGCTGGCAATCTGAGCTAGGACCACCTCAGAGCGCGGCGGCCAGGGCAGGCATGTAGTAGCTGCGTCTGCAGCAGACGGGGTGGCAAACCCTATTTCTTCCACTGAACACGACGGCTGGTCGTTCGTGTTGTGCATGGAACGTGTTCCACGCACACGACCTCTGCCCGAAAACCGAAAAACACACACCGGAACTCACTCTGCTTGACTTCTGAGGGATTCTTGAAACCTCCAGTTCTTCAGCTGCATGCGCTGCTATGCTCGGCAGTCTAAGTCTCAGACCGGGGATCGCTCCTGAGATCTCGTGCTCGGCCGGCGTGGCCCGAGTCGGGCCGACCCGGGGTTCGACCGAAGTTATGATCCAGGAAGGATGAATTGATCCATGTGGCTTAAACGACGCCCCTTTGAGCTCCTGGCCTACCTGACTAACCACCGAACCTGAGGAGATGGGCCAGGAGCCCAAACGGGACGTGTCGAATTGAGCTCTGCAAAATACGTATGATTAAACACATAACTTTCTTACGCTCCTGCTTACGCTTTTCTTACGCGACCACAATGTGAGCTTACGCGCCACGGATGTCGAAGAAGACCTTACACAAATCTTACGCTTCTGTATTTTCACAGATGAGAACCATACTCCCAAGGGAAATGCTTACGTAAAGGATCCTTTTTGCAGGTGAGCCGGCGACAAACACATGATCACTAAGACTCCGCAGCAAAGGAAGCAGAGGGTCACTAGCATCTATATACTTACTGGCTGCCGTGGGCTAGGGTAGGCAAATGAAAAGTTGGCTTACGCGAACCTTACGCGAACCTTACGCGAACCTTACGCCACCAAACCCTCACCGAACGGAGCCTGGCATGCTATGACATGTTATGATGGGCTGACTTGAGAAAGGTTTGATACAGAGTGGCAAACACAAACAAGCACAGTCCACACAAATGTCAGTTCCCAAGGGTTTCAAAGCTCTCATGGTCCACAGTTCCTTTCTTGACAAGCGTGCGCTAAGAATCTACTAAAAACACAACCATATGGCAAGCTTACGCAACATGCATGTCTCACAACTCCCTTACGCAACCTTACGCTTTTCAGGTTTTTGCTTACGCCCAAGTTCCATATGACAAGGCCTTTACTTAGTTCATCTTGGGAGGTTTCTTGCAGTGCTCAATTGGTTTTCGCTTCTACTAGCGCTGGGGTTTAGTCACCCGGGTTTGCAGAAAGTCACCCGGCCGCATGGAAACGCAGCATTAGTCAAAAGTCACCCGGCTCGCGAAAAGTCGCCCGTTTTATGTTAAAACACAATGTAAACGCTCTACGGAAGTATGTTTGTCAAAACTGCTATACATCAAGAATTCACTGCGCCTGTGCAGGAAAGAACTAGTTTATGTCGAAGTTTGCAGCGTTTTGGTGACCGAACCCCAATCAGAACGCAAGGTTAGGACTATCGTGAAGATTACCCCCTAAACATAGATGCAGCATGCTGCCCTGCTTGCTTTGCTCTTCAAGAGCTGTGCATTGATGACCTTCATGTGGAAAAGATCACTAAAGGAAACATGGTGAGGCTGGCACGAGTGCCACGCGAGTCTTTTCGACCCTGTCGCGGGTGCCGCGCGAGTCCCATGCACCCATGTACCCACACCCCATGTACTCACGCCCCATGTACCCAAACAATGGTGTTGAACTGACGCTCCAAAGCTTATCTTCCAATGAGGGTGACATCTTGCATCTAACCCCAATGCAAACGCAGCATCCAAACAATGTTGTTGACCTAATGCTCTTCCAGTTATATTGCCATCTTGCATCTAACCCCAATGGAAACGCAACATCCAGACGACTTTTGACAAGACCAGACGACTTAACACAAGTGCTTGTATCCAGTTGAAAGAAGACCCTCAAAGGTGGTGCTTCTTTGCGCAAAGCAACCGTCACTGGGTCAGTCTCAGGGACTTAAGCCATGCAGTTCTGCATGGAACTATTCTATCTACGATGTTGCATGGTAGTCAGAGATCGTCGACCTAGACACCAGTCTCAGGGTGCACCTGGCAGCTGGAAAAAGAGACATCATCCTTGCAAAACCCTCTGTGACGCACACAAAACGGACAGATGTGCGTCGATGGTGCATGCTCCAACCAACCGACCACCAACGGCTCATTGATGGCGCTCTGAGCCCCAGGACCCGTATGTGGTGCGCGAGCTCCAGGAAGCGTCCTGAAACCAAAGGTAGGTCCCCATTTGTTCGACGCTGTGGGGACTCACCCAGTTCAATAGAGCCCATTTTGGTCGCTGATTGAACTTCACTGAGAAACTTGAGACGGTTCAGCAGGACAGGGCACCAAGTGGGACAAGGGAACAAGCATGGCAAAGACCTTCGGCTCCTTCCGCACCTGCAAATAGAGAACTAGCTCTCGTCTCGTTGCTCACGTTCTGCCTGGCTAAATTGCGAAGGACACGGACTCTCTCAGGTCTCTCTAGAAAAACTAAAAGGTGAACAGGTGAACCGAACAACCATTGTTTCACTATAGGGTTTTGCACTACAAAATTAGGTCAACTGTAAAAATGGTCGACTTGACTTCCAGGGTCGTTCGGTGAACCGAACTACTTTCAATTCGTGGGGGGTGTCCCACCCCGACGATGGGCTTGTCTCCTTTCACGCATCTGGTCGCGCGTACAGTACCCCGTTCGGGATCCATGGAAATCGGAAAAAGTCGTCGCACCCACACGCGACCCTGGGCCCGAATCCTGAGGGGTCGGACCTGAATCCTCTGGAGGGGTCTGGGGTCGAACCAATCCCTAGGGTTTTGAGGGACCAGTCGAGCTGTGAACGGAGCGTCTGGGATGAAGTGAAGCATGCAGATGGAAAGAACACATGAAGAACACCCTTCCTGGGTGTTCGGGGCGCCGACGGAATTTTTCCGCGAACCATACCCGCATTTTGGCGTACCACTGCCTAGAGCTGCACGCCTGGAAGGGCCAGGTAGTCTGGAGCTCTGCATCCATGAGACTTCATCTGCACCTTGGACGCAAAACATCAGCAAAGCACCAAGGTGTCGTGGCTGCCATGCGAGGGCGGCGACACTGGCGGCCGGCCGAGCGGAGATATCTCGGTTTTCGGAGAGACATCTCGGGTGGAGTCGACGATCCGTCGAGTTCTTCGGGGTTCCAGGTGCGGTCTGGAGCTGTGTGGCTTCGGTCTGGAGCGAGCGTCCGACGCGTGTCGTGTCTTCGACGCCCAAGAACAAGCGAAGCAAGCGGAAGTCCGGTCGCGTGTCGCCCACCACCGGTGGTGCCGGAGTTCTGCGGGACCGGAGAAACCTGGCGTTGGGACCTCGACCAAAACTGTTCCTCCCATTCAATGTATTGGATGAAAGGCACCAGGGTGGAAAGCATGGCTCCCAGAGAAGTGGCCAAGTGTGGAAAGTTCGATTCCCTTTAAGAAAGGGCCACATGGTTTGGTGGTGTTCATGGTCCTCTGCAGGTGAACACGAGAAATTTCTGGAGGAAACCGGAGGAAACCGCACAGAATCCGATCCACTTTGGGCGAACCGTCTGTCGTCTCTCCGGTCTTCAGACCCCCGGCTCGGCCGTTCGGCGGAGATGAGCACCTCGGGGGGGCCGTGGATGCTAAAACGGGTCGAACGTGATGGAACCGCAGCAGTGACTCGGCCTGTTGACTCAGCCTGTTTCTGACTGGAAGTTATTATACCCAGACGCTCCAAATAGGCCTTGGTCCCTCAAAACCATAGGGATTTGGGGGTCCGGACCCCTGCATATGAGGGTACGGCCCCTACTTAGGAGGGTCCATGAGCGTCTGGGTAAGTGGTTTTTCAGATGTCTTCGGGGTCCTATTGGAACCTTCAACTGTTCCTTCTCTTTCTTTTTCTCTTTCTCTTTCTCTCTCTCTCTCTCTCTCTCTCTCTCTCTCTCGCTCTTTCGTGTGGATTCTTGGTCAATGCCAGTGGATGGTTTGATGAGAATTGAACTCAAGCGACCCCGATGGTCTCTGCGGTCTGCGCCCGTCTCCTCTCGCCACGTCTCGTCTCTTCCCGTTGATCCTTCCGAGTCTTCTTCCAGCAAAGCAGACCCCCGTGTCAGCCATCGTGTCAGACCTGTGTGTCAGTCATCAAGACCTGTGCCATGTAAAAGAAATGTATGTCCAAAAAGGATCAAAACACGAGTCTGACTCCGACCTGTTTCTCTAAGATCTCTCCTCCCAAAACCACGAAAGAATAACGCAGTCATTTTCTCTGGGCCTCCCCGCGCAGAAAGAGACGAGCAGCCAGCGGTTCAGCATCGGATCATGGGCCTTGGGCGGTGAAGGCCAAGGCCGATGGTCAAAGCGTCTGGTTCCAGCCGTGCGGCTCGAGCTGTAGCATCAATCCTCTTCTTTTTTGGGGGGGTGGGTTGATGAATCAAGTCAGGAGTGAGCTCTAGATGATCAGTACATCATATATTAATTCATATTACGTCAATCCAAAATAGGAGGGGTTTTATACTAATTACCATCAAGTCAAGAGTATACCACCTTTTGTTGTCCATGTCGCTAATTGTTGTCTTTTGGTATGCAAGGACGAGAATTGTTGTCCGGGACGTGTTTTACCGTAATCGCTGAACTTGGTCTTTTCACAACACTCAAATATATATATATATATATATTAATATATTATATCAATAGTATTTAGGCTTTGGACGTGAAAAACCGTTCAGCATTTCAAAAGGACGTAAATTCACAAGATGGACGTAAATGTTGCAAGAACTTGCAAAAAGCTATCTTTTAGCATCCTGGACTGGAATTGGGATCTATCCAGGGTAGCAAGTCTTTCCAGAATTTAGTATCCCTTTTCGAGAATCTCCAAAAGCTGCCAAGGTGCATTGAGGGCTCCTACTTCTTCGCGCCAAGCGAAGCTACGGCGTCTACCCTCAAAAGCCCGCGTGAGTCTGCCGCAGGCGAGTCGTCGGGAGCGGATCCCAACATCGACGATGCGAGCTCTTCACGATCCATGTCATGACCACCCCTGCGGAGGGGTATTCTTGTTTTTGGGGGTAGGCATCACATGGCGTCAGAGGGCCTGGGTGGTGTGGCTCCATCCAGGGCCTCCAGGGGCTGTGGATGTGTCGCGAGCACCAGTCGACTCTCCAGGCGTGGCGTGTCTCCTCTTCGCCACGCCCGTCTGAAGACGCCCCACGTCCTTTTTCGGCGTCCAGACCCACTTGGCGCTTCGGGGCAGGCATGCGGATCAACTCCTTGAAGTCCGGGAAAAGCCCAAGAGCTGAGAATGAATCCGCCCCTTCATCTCAAAACAACAAGTTCACCTGAGATTTACCAGCACCCTCCAACAGGTCTCCGAAATGGAGGCTTTTGTAGACTTAAAAGTCGCAAGTGGTGACCTGGCAGTGAGGGTCCTGGTAGATGTTCACTCATGTTTACTCCAACAGCACTTCCAGGTTTGGCACCTTCGTTTCGGTTCTGGGCGGAGATTCCGTCACGGAGGGTCGTAAAAACACCATCGCCTTCAGGCGCCCCAAGCTTCGAATGAGTGGGCCATCTTTGGATTGAAACCACACTCGGTGCTTTTCCTTCTTTTGTTTGAGACGATACCGCGACATGTCATACCCCAACCCAAATGCGAGGTGAGGATACCCGCAGGGAACCCTGCTGGCCGGCCGCCGACGCGCGCCGGGTGGGGGGTGTACTAAAACAGACCCCAAAGACTCGTGGAACACCTTGTATAGCCTAAAACAGACCATTCAAAGAAAGGTTGACCTGGTTTTGTTAGTGTACAATCCTCAGCAAAACCATGGGCTTTGCGGTGAAAACCATTAAATCAATAGATCACCCGTTGGTTGTGGGGGAAGCCCCCCCGTTTTGCAATAGTTCTCCATGTTTGTCCCGCCATGTTGCTGCAATGTAACACCATGCGTCTCCTTCTTCTCAACCCAAGACTTCCGCTTCGGTTAATCCAGGACCGCCGGAGTTGCGCTAAACCTCGAACAGCGCAACTTCTGCGGAAAACCTCCCAAGCGAAGCTGCGGTTTGCGCCGCGCAACTGCTGTAAAAAACGATCAAATCCAAGCGAAGTGAAGAACCTCCTGTGTGCTTTGCACAGGGGTTGAACACGTTGAACAGCTGAAGCGAGCAGGTCCAATCTGAGGGACGTGGATCTGCACCGAATGGCACCCTTTATTTGGATAGAGGCGCAAGTGGTTTGGTTGTTTGGGTTCCATAGTTCCATGGTCCAGCCGAGCACTTGTTGAAAAAAGAAAGCTCGAGCTCCTTCCTCGTGAACCAGTGATGCTTTTTCACTCAAATCGGAGGGTCCCAGCAGCCCCAAAAAAGCGTCCTTAAACTCATGGTAAAGACTTCTCTTCATCCTCAACCTTGGCCTTGTCGGCACTCACCCAGCGCAGCACTGTGCTTGGTACACCAATGCCTTGGAGAGTGTGCAAGGACCAGGACCAACTCATCACTGCTCAAACACGAACCGAAGAAGGCGTTGCAATGGCGGCCAATGGCCCACTGAAGACTGCTGTGCTCTACGAACTGAAGCTTGCTGCAACAAAGATGAGTCCCAGAGGGGTCCACACGGGTCCACTGCTACACCCAAGTCGTCCAAGAACCACCTCACACCGACCTCCTCCCTGTGCCCCTGTGGACACACGTGCCCATGTCCAACACGGAAGGGTCCCACAACAAAGGTCCACAGTGAGATGAGTGAGATCGATGGTCCACAGCCGATCCTGTCTGTCCCAACAAGCTCATGCATCCCACCGACACATGGGGTGTGTCTCTGAACCAGGAGGTCCGTGTCCTGGCCTTTCAATGGGTTCTTGCCACGAGGTCCGACTGACAGCTCTTCCCTATCTCTTCTCCACGGGCCCCACATGAAACCTCCCATCGGATGGCTGAGATGCTGTAGAGTGTGGTCGCTATGAGCACACACAGCGTACCCAGCACGAACAGCAGGTCTGGCTTGAACTCCTGCCACTGGACATCGCTGGTTTCTTTGGGGCCTTGCTCGAAACCGTGCCAGTGAAAAAAAACCTGTGAAAATATCTCAGAAAAAGAATTCCGCCTCCAAAATGAACCGTTGCTCCTCCCTCCCTCCCGACTCGTGGGACCAGTTCACGGCCGTCGCTTCGCCGCTGCGGCGTGTTCGTCCGGGAGGGTTCGCGGGCGCAGTGGCCTGCAAGAAGACCGCCGACATGATACAGCTGATCACCTGCGCGGCGGGAGGCTTCGCCGGTCCTGGTGGTGGTCCAATGGCGCAATTTTCCGGTGAAAGGGAGAGAATTGGGTCCAAGGGCTTTTTGGAATCGGTTTGGGATTCGAGCGGATTCGACATGGTGTCCTTCGTTCGTTAGGAATCTGACATGCTCCGGAAATACCGTCTCAGAAGAGCAGGAACATGTGAACTCCACCGGTCCACTTGGATCTGAGGCCAGGGCAATGGACAAGGCATTGCCGAAGCACTTGAGGATATTGTCCGCATACTTCAGCACTGCAGCCACCACCAGTCCACCGATGGCCTGCGTTCAAACCGCGGTGCGGAAAAAGGGCCTTCCCCTCAGGCCATGGAGAGAAGCATGTTGGTGCTGGAAAGCCTCTTGCCAGGTCAGACACCCCCCGTTCAGTGGCTCGCCCCGAAGGGTCCACTCGTGCGAGACGCGGAAGGTCCGACGGGTCGTCTCTCGACGAGCGCGCCTGCAAGGCGATCACGGCCCAGACGAGGCCCGAATAGCCTGGGAAGGTCGGCACCCCCAAAGGATCGGGGAAGGAGAGCTGAAGAACTTCCAAGATGGGCTGAAAAGCTCCTTCTCTTGGAAGAGATGGGCTTCGGCTGCTTTTCCATGGACATGACAACCTCAGAGAACACGTAGTCATCTGCATACTCCATGTACGTTCCACCGTCCACGGATGTATCTGCCGAGGTTGGACCATCTGTAGACAGGAAGGCAAGAAAGAGGTCCCATGTACAAACACAAAGCTGAACAGTGTACTTGCTGTGTAAGTACAGAACCCAAATATCAAAAGAGTGGATCACCTGATTGAAAGTGTGATGGAAATTGCTTCCAGCTTCTATACCAACATGTTTCTGATGTTTCTTATTAGGGCGTACGTCCACGAGCTGGATGAAGTCTCGTTGTCAATGACCCGGCAATTTCTCTGGTTTGCTAAAGAGCTCACTTGCGGGTCTGGCACACTTTTGGTTTCTGGACTTCTTGTTGATCATGACCACCATCTTTTGTGATGTGAATATTGACAGAAAATGCTGCATGACATGCGTGCAAGTTGCTTTTTCGCTTCGGGTACAAGTTGTAACATTGCGCCAACGTTGGAACACGTGTTGTAAGAACTTGTTTGGATCGGTTCAACAAATGAGTTTTCGTCATTCGTTTAGGACCAGCTCTTCCGAGAAGGTGAAGAGCTGGCCTGGCTACGGCTACGCCTGGCTAACCAGCAGCTGTCGAGATGTCATGTCGTAAACAAAGGACCAAAGTTCTCGAACTCACCTGCGTTGTTCGGCCACTTTGGTCTCTTCATCCTTCTCCAGCGAAGAGGTCATCTTGAAAACGAACACCCGGGCTGTACAAAAACACAGAGACACGTGTACCGGGCAGTGCCGCATGGCGGTGGAGGAGTGGAGGATCTTTATTCAGCAGGTACAGTAAGTAGTGCGCTTTATAATTTAGATATACCAGGACCCTCACTGCCAGGTCACCACTTGCGACTTTTAAGTCTACAAAAGCCTCCAGGTTTCAGTGGATGATGGTTTGGGTTAGAGGCCTTGTTAAAAAATGATGCTGATTAATAATTGTTTACTGGCTGTTACAGGTAATAGGACAGACCCTATAGATACAGAATACATACCTATAGCCTATAGCACTTCCAACGGGTGCCCAATGGAGACCTGTAAGTAGGGTAAGGTAGTGTATTGGACACCCATTGGATGACCCTGGTACTATGATATGATATGCATGCTTTGCTACAATTGAGGAGTTCCCGATTTGGCTTGACAACCCACAATGCTGGAAGCAGCCTTGCATGAAGCCGTTCTCCGCAATCTTCTTGCCATCTTGCACGTAGCACCCGATGAACGCAAGGATGCCACCGAAGAAGGCCAGCTGGATATTCCTGGAGGACTACCGAGAGGAATAGAGACTTGGGTATGGCTCAAGCCCAAGTCTAAAGCAATTTAAAGAAACATCCCAAAGGCCGTGTGAGAGAGTGCAAGACCCATGTTCACATTCAAAACAGAAATCTTCTCATAGTAGTAGGTTGGATGCCACTTCTGTTAGGTGGGAGGCCATCGCCTGTACCTGCTCTGTTGTTCCCATTGACCACCACCAAAACATGCGTCTTTTCGCTTCAGCCAACAAGAAAAGGGATTGTCATGGACTGCGGTCCAAAGGCCCTTGGGTCGGGCTCCGTTTGACCCATGGTGCTTCGCGTTCGCCAACCCGGTCCGCGTTCGCCAACTACAGAACGGTCCGAAAACCTGGAGCGTTGCCCCGTTTCACGGTGTTTTTGGGGTCGACAGACCAATTGCTCCCCGCTCCCCGCTGTTCCCCTGTTCAGCTGTCCGCGTCCCGAACACGCGTCCCGAACACCGCGCACGGACCGCCCGGACTTCGCACGGGAGGAGGAGTCGGCCTCATCCAAATCGAGGAGTCGGTTTGCTTGAGGATCTTTTCAAGGTACACACCAGCTAACCTGGGAGACGCTTCTCCACATGCGGAGAAGAGGGTAGACTTGGTGATTTTGGTGGCCTCCTTACGTGGAGTATCCTGGTACCAACAACTAAAAACCGCTTCAAATACACAACAAAAAATCCTTCCAGCTCTACTCTACCCTGCTCGCCAATCCACAGCACTTCACTCCTGCAGCGCTGTGCTTTCGGTCCGTCTCAAGTCGCGTGTTGCTCAGACCCAGGTGGCGCAAACGGCTCGTGTCATGCGTGGCTCTCGAGGATCGATCCGAGGCAAGACCGAGTCGATGCGTTCGATCCTCTGCGATGCTAGTAGCGATGTAGCGTCCTTGTTCCGTTCGTAGCGATGCCCGTTGCATGCTCCGTTCGTAGCGATCGGATGGGTTGGACCCCAAACGTCTACCCGCTTCCTTTTTCGCGAGACGACATCCTTTTGTTTTGGGTTCCGTGGACGCCATGGAATGACGGGAACATCCCATGCGAACGCAAGATTGGTTCGTTCGTGTTCGTTGTGGTGGATGAGCCAGTGATCCTGCAGAAAAATACCTGAAAACTTTGAGCCTTAAAGATCTAACAAAGCAGCTCTTGTGCCTGCTTTCAAGCCACGTCTTCCCACAGTCTCCCCAACATTCAAGACCATCCTCCGCCGGCGCTCACCTGCCCCACTGGTAAAGCCGAAAGACCCACTGGTAAAACAGGCGGAGATCACTGCCGCCAGTCCAACCACTGAATCTCCTTTCTGTACATCCTCCGCCGGCGCTGAACAACTACGACGACGCGCTCCAACCGACACGGTTTCGCTGGAGCCGGAGACGAAGCACGCGGGTGACCGCCGTGAGGGAGAAAACCGTCCGGTTTTTCGCGCGCGGAACCCACGAGATGGAGTGAGGTGTTTCAACAACGACCTTGTTGGGGTCTGAGTCGACTCATTCCTGGGTTCTTCAGTACATGACCGAACCATCTTGATCACCTGGTTGCGCACCGGTCACGGTTTTCGGTTCACGGTTTTCGGCCACAAGCGGGTCACGCATCGGAACCGGTCACGGTGTCCGACCGAGGGTCCGACCTGTCGACGCCCGGGGCGTTTCGGGGAAGTCGACGAACACGAACGCCCGAAGGCTGTGGAAGGCTGTGCGGGCTGCGCGTCTCATCTGTGCGGACAGTTTTTGGGAAGGCCAGGGCCTAAGGGGAAGGAAGCGGAAGTCTTTGGGAGTCGCGATTGGGGGCCTAGCAGCGAAGTCATTGCTCTCAGTCTTTTCTGGCTCATGTCGTTCTGGATTTTTGTGCAACCTAGGAGTTCACCTCATGTCGGTCATTTCGAAGATTGTGAGCACTTTCAGGTGTTCCATGGTGTCCCTATATTAGACATCTGGTGATGGGTGCTACGAATACTCCCAAGCCACCAAAATCATCCTCTGGCACATCGGGCCACCTTTCAAACGGCTTCTTTCTTCGCTGCTACACCCCATTCCAAAACAGATCCACAAAAATCCGGTGGATGTCACCACCAACCGCCACATCCATCCATCCATCCATCCATCCATCCGTCCGTCCGTCCGTCCGTCCGTCCGCGTCCATCCATCTCTCCCCACAGCCATCGGTGCGGTCCTCCTTCGCTTCACCTCTGGGCAACTGGATCAAGGCCACGCCAGTGGTCAAAATCAGCAGTGCACACCACTTGGTGCTCCCCAGTGCCTGGTGGGCTGAAACACAGGAGGGCAGAAAGGCTCAGAAAGGTGTGGAAGGGTTCTTTCCCCTGGAAAAAGGGAAAGAGCAGGACTGGGAGAGCAGTGGAGGCCCGATTCCGAAAATCTCTGGAAAATCTATGAAAATCTTGAGCCATTCTGTTCCACAGGTGTGTATGAATCTCTGCTGCATCCTTTCCACCCGTTCCGCCCAATTCTGACCGACCAGTCTCGTCCTCATGCTTCCTGCTTCCTGCGCCACCGGGCCTCGGTGTTCTTGCCCTGTTGAACCTGTGGTTGCTCGAGTTGCTTTTGTATATCTTTTCCGGTGAGTCAACTCGCCCGTCTCCGCGTTTCTCGGTCTCTTCGCCTTGTTGAGGATCAACATACTCAGCACGGCAGTGGTGAGAATCTTCAACTGATAGGTCACTTGGTAGACCGCCCCACTGAGGTTCGACAAGCTGATGAACAGCAGATTGTTCTGCACCTCGGGCGAGGTCACGCACGGGAAGACGACACACCGGAAGTGTCGGAACCGAAAACGGTGCTGTGGGGACGGCGATCCACAAAACGTCTCGTGGTCGGGTGCCTTCTCTTCAACCCTTCAAAGAGTTCGATGGACCTCTTGAAGGGGATCTCTACCTGTGGATCAGACGCTAAAGCAACTACCAGGGGTCACAGAGCTCGGGGTGGTGTTTGGTTCCTAAGTGAGTGGAGTAGTCGGGCTGTGAACGGAGTGTCTGGGCACTGACTCACTCTGCGGCGCCGTGACGGTTTCTGTCGAGTGTGTTTACCACCCCAAGCACGTTTCCCGTGTCCGGGAGACACGAGAGACACGAGCTCGACCAGACTCACCCACGACTTCCTCATGTGCCGTGTAGAGTCGAGACGCCGTGTACAGCAAAGAGGGCACACTCACCTTCAGGAGCTCCACGCCACTCCTGCACGCGGCCACGCGGACAGGACGAGGCGAACACGACGAAGACTCGGACGGACGAATGGCGCCGGTTGGAGGGATGGCGTTTTCGCCGATGCTGGATGTGCCCACGGTGGCTTGAAAAGCGGCAACAAATACGTAAGGCGGCGAATTGGCAAAGAGTCGTCTTTCCATGAATCTTCCGGGTTTTTCGACACTTCATGTCCTGGTGGTGTAGACTTGCCTCAATGAATTTGTACCCCTTAGCCTTCGACCAGGTTGACAGGTTGTTGTGCCAATTCCTTCGTCCAAACAGCAACAGCTGGGTTCCGGTGGTTCGGATCCAGCCAAGTGTGCGTTGAACTCGCCAAGAATGGCGCCAGGCGAATTGGTGCACTGCTGCGGTGGTTCGGCATGCGCCAAAGGAGAATGCCGGAAAATTGGGAAAACTATACGGAAAACTGGGTGCGGTGTAGACCCGTCCTTCCGAATTCTTTTCTTCCTTTTCTTTCCCTTCCCGAAAAGTGAACCATCTGTAAGCCACCATCCCTCACATCCTGCGGAAAGTTTGCAGGACGGTCTTCGCAGCAGTGGCCGGCTCACCCACTTCGTGGCTGAGGAAGAGGAAGCTGCAAATGAGCTTCATGACCTGTCAGAGCTTCGGGGGACGGTGCGTCCGCTCGGTTTCCGAGCTTGGAGGTTTGCTGAACTGGTTGGATTCGGAGGACTGCTGCTGCCCGTGAAGGACGCTCCGTGAGGGAGTGTTCAGGCCTTTCTCTCTGATGGGTTCGGGTCCCAACACCCCTCCAGACCCGAGGATTTGGGGAACCGGCCACTACTTTTCAAGGGAGGGTCCCAATGGGTCGCCATCTGGGTGGGTGCTTTCTCTTGGAGATCGCAGACCACGGCGGCTGAGTGGTGGGTTTTTGAGAAAATTCCTTGACGACGTGGTCCCATCTTCTTCCAATTGTCCGAGAGCTTGACAGATTGAAGAGATTCCCAGACACGACGATCCATGGGACTGCCAGGACGGACTGCCGCCCCAGCCAGACCCCAAAACCAACCACCCCTGGCCGTTTTGAAGGCAGTCCGGCTGGCAGTCCCATGGAACACACCTTCCTTCGTTCGGTCTCCCACTCTCTCTTCCTTCGGCCACCAGAGCGAGCGACCGGGGACCCAAGAGGCCACACCGAACAGGTCGCCCCATCCACATCCGAAGACGGCGCAAGGGCGGAGCGACAGGGCGGACAGCGACCTTCTCTCCTCTTCGAAAGCGACGCCCGCGATGGTTCAACAGCGGAGCTGACCGCTCGATGACAGGCTGTCGTTTCCCCCGCACCCGGTCTGAGCGAAGACCCGTTTCGTCCCGAAGGAGTTTGGTCGCCCGGTCGCTGAGGATCGGCACGTCACGCCGAGACTTGCGCATTCACCAAACTTCTGTCCTACAAAAATGATCATCAGCGCTTTTCCGGAGTCAAAAACCATCAAAAGAATGGTCTGACTAGGAGACCTGAAAGGGAGCTTCCTTTACTTCAGTCGGTCAAAGTATCGTCTTTGGATGTCTTTGGACTAGGGCCCCCTAAGGGGTGGCCCCTTAACCCCTAAGGAGCTATTATTAGACACCCCTTAGGGGGCCTAGTATACGGTTTTGGGTAGGTGTTTCTTTTCTTCACCATTATGGCGCTTCGTCCACGTCCCATCGGCTCGTGCCAGCCGGGCGCGCTGCCCGGCTAGGGACCTGGGCTTGAGCCCCCATGCCCCGCCTCCGAGAAGAAGACGGCCGTGGTGTTGAGATATCTGGGACCTCCAGCGGAACTCGTGGGGTTTTGAGTCGGATGAGTCGAGGTTATGATGGGCATTTTGGGGGGGAGGGTGTTGGGGGTGCCAGATTTGCTGCCTCTTTTTCCGCCAAGCTTTGTTTCCCTCAACAGAATCCGTTGCAAAAGAACACCCTGATGCCACCTTTACTTTGTTCTTTTTTGCATGTCGCACATGGAGCCCTACACTGGAGCCGAGCGGAGCTGAGCTCAACTGGTCGCCAAAGCGGTTTCACCCCGTCCCATCCAGATGCCCTATGGATCCACTGCCACCTTGACTATTTATCTACGCGCCAAAAGGCCCAATCATACCTTCTGAGAAGGTATGTGGATCCCTAGGCTAGGGATGGTTGATCCAATATGACTTGCTTGAGATCCTGTATGTATAGGAAGTGGCTAGGACTCTGGGCCACCCACTCGGTCTAGGACTGGTTGTTGGCGGAAACATCCAATGGTTTCTGCGACTGGGACGGAAGGTTTTCCGGCCCAGTCGAACCTCCCAGCTCAGCCCGCATGGCACCAACCTTGCGAGATCTCGATCGACCACTTGGTATATACCCCCAAAAAGACGAAAAAGAAAACAAACACATGGTTGGCTTCTTTTCGATCACCGTCTCGTCTGCCCACGCCGTCTGCCACCCACGCCTTCCACGGCCAACGTGCGCGAGAGCCGCATGGCGAAGACGACGCTGACCGTTTGGGCCACCAACATCAGCAGCGAGACCCACTTCCTCGGTAGACAGACGGCCGCGCGGAGAGGTCAGGGACGATCCGGAACCCTTGGGTGGAAGGGGAGAGAGGGAGCCCGGTCCGAAAGCAGGGCTGGGGGATATGATCGGATATGACGTCAGATCTTGACCCTAGGGCTCCAAGTACCTTCTTGCAGAGGGTTTAGAGGGTCCAGTCATACCTTCTGAGGAGGTACGACTGGAGCCCTAGGGTGAGATATATATCTGAAGTGGATCACTTCACTTCCAGCTGCTGGTCGCCCCTACGGCGACCCGTTTCTCCGATCACCCGGTTTCGACCTGGTGTCCACGATCTCGCCGTCTTTCGGTTCCGAACCGGTTCGGCAACCTCCTGGACCCGACGTGACTTGGCACCGAGCCTAGCGCTAGCGGTGTCGGTGTCGGTCGGTCGGTCGATCGAAAAGTCCTCACCGTAGCTGAGGTTCGGTAACCTCCTGGATCCCTAGGGACGTAGAAACGATTCATTTCAACTTCTATCACGAGAACCAGAGTGGATGCCCACCATGCTGGGGAAACAAGGCCAGAACGGATGCAAACTGCAAACACAGCTACGAATCATCAGACGAGACAAACGAACTTGAAGCTAGCTCAATCCTGCCTTCGGACTGAGCAGTCCAACCAAGCTTCATGGGAATGCCGAAACACTTGGGCGAATCATTGCTCTTCGCCATGGCGCGCCACCCGGAAGCCGCGGCTGAACGCGGCTTCGCTCCGCAGGGCCGCGCACGCGGACACCGGTGTCCCCGGTTGCCGGTGTCGTGGCAGTGAAGATGAGTAAAGTGACCTGTTAATTAACCCAAATGATCCATCAGTCCATCAAATCCGACACCACGTGGATCCCAAAAAGAAGCTCGACTCAGAGACTGATCAGTCGCCCCATGGTTTCGATGGTTTTAGTTGGTTGGTGCCCCGAAAAAAAACAGCTCGCGAATTGGCGGTCGAACAGTGATGCGGTGGAACCAACGGCCCATGTCATGTGGATTTCACTTCTACATCTTCCACCAACCAACCGTCGGATGCATGAAATTCTGTCAGTCGGTCAGGTTCACCGCACCATACCGCACCAGCAGAAAAGACAGAAACAGGTGAACTAGACGTAACTAGACTCCCTGAATCACCCGAAAGTCACCTAGGAAAAACCACAGGGCCTGACCAAGCGGAGCGGCCCCCCCCAAAAAAGGGATTCACGCAACGAGCTGGAGCGAGCTGGAGCCCAAAACGAATCCACGCGGCGATTCGAAGCCATGCGGCGATTCCTGATTCCAATGACCCAAGTGTTTGGAGCCCCGTGCCCCTGACATCCCCTGACTCAGAATTGGATTCCGTATAGTCAAGAGTCATCCCAGTGCCCCCTCTGTGCCTCCAGTGCCACGCCAGTGCCCTGACCCGACTCTCTGAAGGAAATCCTTGGTCTTCCACCCCAAATGGGTCTCTTTCCACAACACCGGTCCACCTGGTCTCCCTTGATTCATCTGCCTTGGCACCCTCCCACCGCGCAGAGAGATCTCGCTCGCTCCGCCCCCTTTGCGACAGGCGTGATCTACACGTCGAAGGCATAAGAGAAGGACGAGTGGAAGCACCGGAACCCACCACGAAACCCACGGGGCCCGTTCCCCCGGGTTCAGCGCGTTCTGCACCTCAACCTCAACCCCCACACTCCTGCCGAGCGGGCGCGGGTTCCCGCGCGGACGCGAAGCAATGAGAAAAACCCAAGACACATGTGTGAAGAACTAGCAGAAAACCGTACATGTTACAGAGGCAAATGATTTCTTCTTTTCTATGATGGTTGTACTTCATGGATCTCCAGCCTCACGAGCAAGGCACAGCAAGACTCGATTGAATTCCTCTGACAACTGTTTCTTCCCCCCCTCTCCTCCACTCTCCTTGGTCTTGGTCTCGTTCTTGGGCT